AAAGAAGAAGAAGAAGAAGAAGAAGAAGAAGAAGAAGAAGAAGAAGAAGAAGAAGAAGAAGAAGAAGAAGAAGAAGAAGAAGAAGAAACAGGGCTCCACTTTACCCACAGATGTGCTTATACTACGCATTAAACCTGCAAAATTACCACCTTTAAGTTTTGGTGGTGCGTGAGCGTTACCCTCTAAAATTTCGTTTCGGGGGTTTGCATACGTTTTAAAACATAGATGTAGATGGTGTGCGTCTGGCAAGCGTCATTTTCCCCTTTCTCCATCCCGAAGCCGAGTCAATGATTTGACAACACATCCACACACATGACACTGCAGTCATCTTTTGTCTGTCTGTGACTTTGTGTCGACAGAAGCAGTCGACCTAGAATCTACTTATTATTATCAGCTGTGCGCAGTTTCCGGGGACTGTGGCTCGCTTGAGCAGTGAGCAGAGACCCGCCCACATTCTGATCGCTCGCATTTTATTTGCCGGTGTCGTGAATTGAGTTTACCCCTTCAAGAGATTACCCCCGTCCTTCTTTAAACACAATAGATCAAGTAAACATGAATTGTTCGCCATCGAAAGATTGGGATGGCTCTGAAGAATAATGAATTCTTTTATTTTCCGAACCGGCCACTCATCCCGATTTAATCGGGATATCCAGATTTTTTGCTCCAAATTTCAAGCGTCTCGATTTTCCAGATTTTGATTGCGTGTATCATGATTTAAAAAATCATTTTTTGTTCCGTCTGTTGTGCTGGATTTTTCTAAAATCTTACTCTGCCTTCTTTTCTGTCTTGGGAAGCACTCGTTAAGCTTTTTGTCAGCAGCAGAAACTCAGAGCACTATTTTCCGAAATGTCGATGCCGAATTTAGCAGATCTTGTTGTGTTGGATCTTTGCTCGCACGTGTTATTTCAACCATAATGGAAGTAGATCTAGTATTGATATGGCATTCCGACTTGGGACGTTCTCAAGATCTACTTTCGCTTTTGTTTCCACTCAGAATACTCCGATGATGGCCGGATAACTGTTTCAAATGCAACGCACAAATGATCATTATTAATCCTAGTTCTGCTGTAACTTTTCAAAACAAGCTTTGTCCAAATGCTGGTTAGTC